TGCTTCCTTGGGAGTTTTATTTTGATGTACAAATGAACACTTTACTTCTAAACATATAACAGTAGTATTTTTACTACATTGCTTGATTTCAGCCAATCAGAGAATAGAGATTTGCAAGTAATAAATCATGTAACAAAAAGAAATCGTTTTCACTGCTCAATTATCAGCCTTTGTCACAGACAGGGTCAATGTACATGTAAATTCGCTTAACATATCCATGCACGGACGATGTACATGTACACATATCAATGACAAAATAAAACTGCGTATTTAGACACAAATTCAAAGTGATAATTATGATGCTTTTAAATAATACAGTTACAAAACGCAATTGTGAAATCATAATATATCATGGCGTATTGTCTTTCTCTTGATATTTCAAGAGAACAGGGGACAAATTCACTGATAACGTATCTCAGAACAACTCCTGTTCAAATTCAGGTAAACAGGATTCAAGTAAAGATCTTATTTTTCTCATGGAGATCCCCGACTCCACCAGCAGTTCATGACGTTTCATGTCTTTCTTATTGAAATAATTATAAAATACTTTGGGGTGTCCATTTAAAAGCATCCCGTACACTTTAATGGTGTCATTAACAACGATAGTGAGAGGGGCACCAGAAGCACCCTTAGCAGTACTGCTGGAGCTATGAAATAAAATTTTGTCCTCAGATATTTCACACAGGGCATAGTCATCTTTTATTTCGCATTCCTTATCTGGCAACTCCTTTTTAAAGAAAGCAATTCCTTCCTTTTTTAATTCAGCAAGTTTTGTTTCATTGTTTATAACTGTACATCCCGGATCATGCTGAAGTGGGATTCCATCAGGATGACCAAACACGTGGATCTTCTCTTCAGAAATGTTATATTCCACTAGATTAAAGAATCTTGGTTCAGACTCTAGTTCTGCAAGCTCTAAGACTAAGACATCATTTTCTGGAGATACAAACGCTATATCAGGTTTGAATTTTACAATCCTTCCCACTGCTCCTTCATTCAAATATTCAAATTTGATTTCATATTTCTCGATTAGATCCTCCGCCCGTCCCTCTACTTTAGCTGTGAAAAAGACGAAGAAAATTAATCACTTAAATATATCTTGAACTTATTCTCAATGAACAGGGTCCATGTAATTTGATTTTCAAGCATTTCTTAGATAAATTTTATGAGAGAGATGGTGAAAAATGAAATTTACAAATAGATAAATTGTGACAGGTGTCCTTCCCGTCACGGGCAATGGTTAATAATGACGATTGTTTTTATTTACATCGTTTATATACATATTTACAACACAATATATATTTATAAGAAAGCATAATGTTCACAATAAAAAGACACGTCCACACTCATTGACTTTCAGACTTGTTCTTCTCTCTCTCTCACACATGTTCCCAGGGCATGGCCATACCAAATCTCTTTTTCCCCCACTTTCTCACACAAATCAACTTAATGCTCATTTTCATCTCTCAGAACTCTATCATGCACAATAAACAACGATAACAGAAATGACAAGCAAAAAAATTATAACTCCATGCCTGCTCACTCGTTTTCTCTCTAACTAACTCAAATTACACTCTTGGGATACAGGGCTACAACGCCTGCGCCGCGCACCTGCAACCTATCACTCTCTTTCATTTACAATTAATTAACAAAAATCGGGTGATTGGTCTGTGACAAAATTGAAAAAAATCTAATGATTTTATTTATTTTCTGATTAATATTTAGCTATGAGAGAGTTGGCCAGTATTCAAATGAAACACTTTAATTTCTAGCGTAAAATCATGGTACAATGCATAAAGATTAGAATAGCAAAATCGATTTTTTATTTCAAAGGGCTTATTGCATGTTTAATTTTTTTTTTTTTGCGTATTTCATTCTTTTTAATACCACCATTTATGTGTGTTTTTACTGTGAATATATCGCGTTAATTAAGGAATTATTACTCAAATGAAAACCTCGAATCAAAAATCAAAGTTAATTAGATAAAAATTTGTTATGCCAATGAACTAAATTAAAAAAAATAAAATAAAAATTAGTAACATCAAGTGATTTCCCAATTCTCTGTACAGACTCTTTTACGAGGGCTGTTCAATAAATAATGTCCTCGGTGCTCAGAAAGAAGTAAAAGACGCTTTTCAATTATTTATTCGTCATGATTTTATTAATTAATCTCTTTTGAGTAAAATACATGTCTGTAACATCATTATTCCAATTTCTGATCGTTTGTATAACTCTTATTTGGGTATGTCCCTCAGTATACTGGAAAATGGTAGATCCAATGATTTCCCGGACTTGTCTTTTCCTTGTAAAAGGTATTTTTTCCAAGTTTGGATATTGAAACAAGTCAAGAGGTCAAAGATCTTGAAAATATTGTTAATGTGAAAAAACATTAACTCTCTGTTTATTCCGAAAACCCTTTTACTCTTCAGGGAATGCGGAATTGGAAGCCATCTTGAAGAAATTCAATGTAGAGGATTCCTGATTCTGGGTCCTTCCTCTAATAAACTTTTTGATTTTTTGGCCAAAAAAGTGCTCTCTAGACTCCTTCAGAAATTAAACTGTCTATCAAAATACGATTTTGAACAACATAACCACTAATGTTTAAGAAAATTATATATAAATCTGTCTTTGTGTTCTTGCATATCTCTGAACTTTTCAGACATTCGCCGTTTTTATCAAGTACATCTTAATGGTAAATTTTGTTTTTAGGGTTTTAAGCTATAGATTCATGTTCCAATATCTGTTTGAAAATAAAACAAACGTGGATAACTACAATTACAGATATTTTAAAATAATTGTGAAGATTTTCGTACACACTGTCATTTTCACTCATTTTTCAAAATATAGGGTGACCTTTGAGTATCAAGCTTTTTTTACCGCCCAACGTTTCTTAAATACAGTATAAACTACCCCCGATGTGATGTCCATCAAATTTGCTATGTGTCTTGAAGTCAATGATACAAAATTCAATATTATTTGTTGAAATTTGGCGAACAATACACGAGTTGTTATCATTTTTGTTGGCAAGGAGGGTACCCATTTTTGATCCCCATTAAAAAAAATTGATCATTAAAATCCACGTGCTCTTTTGTCTATAAATTAGGCATTAGTTGCTCTGAATAACATATATTTCTGTTAATATTTCTTTGGGATTTTTAACAAGTTTTAAAGCAGCTTTAATGAAGCTATTATTTTCACTCTTGTTTATTGATTCTTTATTATTCATTTATAATGCAGTGTCTCGAAAAGCCCTTGTTTCCCAGCTTCTCATAATGAAACTATGTGATTAATAGTTGTCACATAAAGTGTTATAAATTCACAAAAGATTCAAAAATGAGAGAAAGTCAAGTTTAATGTCATACGACATCTGTGATATATGTCATATAGTTCAGGACATTATTTATTGAACAGCCCTCGTACATGAAATCAACTTAAGGAATAAAACCAATATTCATTTTGAATTATGAAAAATTACTTCATAAATATGAGAAGCTGACCAAAAAAAAAGCTAAAATAATTTCCTGTTTAATAGAAAAACAAGAGGCCCACGGGCCTTATAGGTCACCTGAGCATTATGCAACAACTTTCCATGCAGTTACAGTGTATTGAATTTGATTCATGTTTTAAGCCAGATGCTATATGGCATTCACAATTTTGAAAGAGGCACCATTGATCATAATAACAATACTCTTAACATTTGCTTAGCTTGGTAACTGAATACCCATATGCAGGGTAGGGGAACAAAAAGGCACTCCAAGTAATCAGTAATATTCAGCAATAATCAGTAGTGCCCCTTACACGTTGACATAAACCCCTGACCCTAGGTCCAAACATTGCACAAATTTTTAAAAGGCACCCTTAAAATTGCCTATCAAAAAAATAAATAAATGTTTTATAAATACAAAGAAGCAGATTTCAAACAATAAATTCATTTTTGTATATAAGCAGACCCCCCCCCATCCAACCCCTGACCCTGGGGCCTTTAAATACACTATTCTGCAAGATTAGGGTCCTTGCTCATCATAACTATATAGGTAGTTCATCCACTTCATACCCAGAGACAAAGAAGAAAATTTAATGAATTTTCACTATATAATCAATAGAACCCCGGCCTAACACCAGAACCCTTGGCCCTGGGACCATAAAATTCACAATTTGGGTAGAGGCACTCTTGCTTATCATAACTATGCACTAATTGGTTATTTAATACCTAGGAGCAGAGAAGAAGATTTTCAAAGAATTCATGTATTTTCACAATATAATCAATAGAGCCCCCCCCCCACCACCACCACCACCAGAACCCTTGACCAAGAGGCCATAAAATTCATAATTTTGATAGAGGCACTCTTTCTCATTATAACTATGCACTTAGTTAGTTTATTTAATACCTAGGAGCAGAGAAGAAAATTTTCAAAGAATTCATGTATTTTCACTATATAATCAATAGAGCCTCTCCCCCAACACCAGAACCCATGACCCTGGGGGCATAAAATTCACAATTTGGGTAGAGGCACTCTTGCTTATCATAACTATGCACTTATTTTGGTTATTTAATACCTAGGAGCAGAGAAGAAGATTTTCAAATAATTCATGTATTTTCACAATATAATCAATAAGGCCCCCACCCCAACACCAGAACCCTTGACCCTGGGGCCATTAAATTCACAATTTTGGTAGAGGCACTCTTGCTCATCATAACTATGCACTTAGTTAGTTTATTTAATACCTAGGAGCAGAGAAGAAGATTTTCAAAGAATTCATGTATTTTCACTATATAATCAATAGAGCCTCTCCCCCCAACACCAGAACCCTTGACCCTGGGGCCATAAAACTCACAATTTGGGTAGAAGCACTCTTTCTCATTATAACTATGCACTTAGTTAGTTTATTTAATACCTAGGAGCAGAGAAGAAGATTTTCAAAGAATTCATGCATTTTCACTGTATAATCAATAGAGCCTCTCCCCTCAACACTAGAACCCTTGACCCTGGGGCCATTAAACTCACAATTTTGGTAGAGGCACTTTTCCTCATCATAACTATGCACTTCATTAGTTTATTTAATACCTAGGAGCAGAGAAGAAGATTTTCAAAGAATTCATGTATTTTCACCATATAATCAATAAGGCCCCCACCCCAACACCAGAACCCTTGACCCTGGGGCCATTAAATTCACAATTTTGGTAGAGGCACTCTTGCTCATCATAACTATGCACTTAGTTAGTTTATTTAATACCTAGGAGCAGAGAAGAAGATTTTCAAAGAATTCATGTATTTTCACTATAAAATCAATAGAGCCTCTCCCCCCAACACCAGAACCCTTGACCCTGGGGCCATAAAACTCACAATTTGGGTAGAAGCACTCTTTCTCATTATATCTATGCACTTAGTTAGTTTATTTAATACCTAGGAGCAGAGAAGAAGATTTTCAAAGAATTCATGCATTTTCACTATATAATCAATAGAGCCTCTCCCCTCAACACTAGAACCCTTGACCCTGGGGCCATTAAACTCACAATTTTGGTAGAGGCACTTTTCCTCATCATAACTATGCACTTCATTAGTTTATTTAATACCTAGGAGCAGAGAAGAAGATTTTCAAAGAATTCATGCATTTTCACTATATAATCAATAGAGCTCCCCCCCCAACACCAGAACCCTTGACCCTGGGGCCATAAAATTCACAATTTTGGTAGAGGCACTCTTGCTCATCATAACTATGTACTTAGTTGGTTTATCTTATACCCAGGAGCAGAGAAGAAGATTTTCAAAGAAATAATGCATTTTCACTGTATACTTATTTAGCCCCGCCCTAGCACTAGAACCCCTGACCCCAGGGCCATGAATTTCACAATTTTGGTAGAGGACTCAATGCTGATTACAATCATGCAAATAGTTTGACTGCTTGATGTCCAGGAGTAAAGAAGAAGATTTTTAAAGATTGCATTATTTTTAGGGGTTTTGGCCCCACCCCTCAGGCCCCAGGGGGGCAGGGATCATGAAATTCACAATTTTTGTTCCCCTTCAGCCATAGATGCTTTGTGCCAAATTTGGTTCAAATTGGTTCAGTGGTTGCAGAGAAGAAGCTGAAAATGTTCAAATGTTAACACACGACGCACGACGGACGACGGACGACGACGGACGAAAACGGATAGCAATAGGTCACCTGAGTTTACTCAGGTGACCTAAAAATTAAAAGGCAGAGTTACCTTTCCTCTTAAAATGTAATGGTGAAATGAGGTTATATATATTCCAACTTCCAGTCACTGGCAATTTGTCTTTAGTCCATTCTATTTTATTTCGCTCATCTTCGGTCAACAATCCATGTACTTCTCTCCAAAGTTTCTCTACAAAAAGGTCTAATATTTCAAAATTCAGAATAATTTCCACCTTACCTACAACAAAACACTTGATCAATATATATTTCCATTTCTAATTTTCCTCTCTGTGATAACTCTTTGAAAGTTACCGGAGTTAATTTCTTAATAATTCTACCAGATTATTCATCTAGGTAGGCAAATAGGTCAGAAGCGAAAAGAACTACTATGCATGCAAATTTCGTGAGCATCTGTTTCTGAGTCTGACAATAAGGAGACCAACTATGCATGAAATCTCGTGCTGTTCCCGTTGTGTTTGTCGTCAGTGGGCGAGGACTACTGAAATTGGGATGGGAGTCTTCGTGAATAGGTTTGTCATTTTGAAATTTTTCACTGACTTGATAAATTATGCATAGTATTTGAAAGGATGTTTTGACCTGTGTGCTTAATATATGTCCAAAATATGCATCAATAATTCCAAAGTTTTCTGCATATACATCATATAATCTAATATTTTCCTTCTCCTTATTGATTCTACTAAAGATAATAAAAACCTTCTCAGCTGCAAGAATTGAAAATATGAAATATCATAAATTGTAAATATCTTCTCATCGTATGTCTTTTCAAAAATAAAAGAAGAATGTATAATAAACTTTCTTAACACCCTTAGAAATAGTTAATACATTGATTACAAAAGAAGGATGTAAAGAATATGTTTTATATAGATACTTTTGTGTTTGCATTTTATACCGATAAATGCTAGGTTCTTTCTTCTAAGAAATACTTCTTTCTGTTTTTGACAAAAGGGAGTTGATTTATTCACAATATACATGTATGTCTCTTTAACAGTTTAAAGTAAAAGTGGAGATAATTCTTTTTTAGAATAAATAACACGAAACAACAAATTATATATATTTCCCACTAAAGAAAAGACACCTAACTATCTTACAACTTTATGATTTAACAATTCACTAGAACGTGGGGGAAAGGGGGGGAAATTCAAATTTAATATTTTTTTAGAAAAAGATTTTATTTTTTCCCTCCATCTTTATGAGCAATTTGTATTTATTTAGTAATGTAGATCATTCTCCTGGGTCATACATTTTTAAAGACGAAAAAATAATTGACTTTCTAAGAAATGATAAAAGATGATGCAAAAGTTGATAATCCTAGAATATGGGGATATTTTTTATGAAGTCTTCACAATAGAATGACTTTTTAAGGAGTACCCTTGCCACACTTATAAAACAAGAGAAAGAAATCATTTGCACTGAAAAAAAAAACTTTATTTAACCAGGTCAGGAAAGGATGTCCCCTCTAATGTCGGCACAAAACTTGTCCGATCAAATTTAATCATTTTCGTCAAAATTGATTATACATTGTCACTTCATTTTTCTTCAGACACCTTTCCTAAATGTTTATACGAGGGTTGTTCAAAAAGTTCATGGACTTCTGTCATATCTTTTTTTTTTATTTAACGTCATATGTTATCTAAATTTGATAGAAATATTATAACAAAAGATTCGAACGATTTCTAATTTTCAATTATCACGATTTATTTTTAAGCTTATCCAGTTTTAAAAAATGCAAAAATCGGGTTGCGGAGCAGTTCAGAATTTAGTAAATTATAAAAAGTACACTAAATAATGTCTATATTATTCTCTGTAAAAGTAGCAAAAAACGGAAAAAAACTTGAAATTTAAATTAAGAATTGTTACATCGATTCATATGTCAAATTATGGATTAAAATTGTCCTTCGCTGTAAAAACTAGAACTGTCCAATAGGGACAAATACCCCCGCTGGGTTTTTCAGAGTAGGTGCCAATTCAGAAATATCTCATGGATCTAGTAAGAGGTGTTCACTATTGTCTAATAAAGTGCCCCGCCGTGCAGCATGATACGCCCATCAAATATTGCTCGATAATCATAAATTGGTTAGGGTGCAAGAAAATCAAGTAACCTTGATTAACAGATTGACACAGATTTCAATGATCTAATTTCCATTTCTTATCATGTTTAAAATATTGTACATACATCTCTAAGAGACTTACAGTGTAGGGATTAATTAAAACAAATAATACATCATATAATTCTAAACTGGCTGTGTTAGAGCTTAACAAATATCCATCTGCAGCTTTAAATTGTTCATTGCATATTTTATAAAATAATGGAAATGCTACAGTCTAATAAAAAAAATCAAAAATTTATTTTTCTTTAGACTATAAAATTCTAAGTGAGACATGACTGCAATTTGTTGCAAATATATAAAAATTGAAATGTAATTTTTTTTTTCAATGAACACATGTATAACTAATTTTAATTAAATCATACAATACTTATTCAGTTTTAATCATACACTAAAACATCAGTTTGTTTTAATTACATTACACCAATTGAAAGATCTTTACCTGAACTACAGCCATCAAGAACTCTTAATTAACACAAGCAACTATGAGGCCATTTCTTTTTGCCCAACTCCCAAGAGATGAATTAAGATACTTAGTAATACTGCATGATGCTCTTGCCAGGTAACTCCCGACAATGAACTCATTTATTTCTCTCTAATTTGACATGCACATTTTTGCAATCAAAAATTCTCCTTGACCAGTGCTTGATAATTATGCCCATGGGACAAACTGAATTCCTCTCAAATCATTAACATTTGTTACAGAATTTGCTGTAGAGTATATGATAAAAAAATAAGTTTTTAATTAATTTAGCATTTTTTGATAATAATACAACTATATTTTTACATTTTTTAGGATTATGAAATTTGAAATTTTAAAGACTTAGTTTTTTTTTTTAAATCACTGAAATAAAGGTCACAGTGACCTTGAAATAGGTCGGGACACACCGTCTACCAAAGATGCATAAATTGTCCAAGTTTGATGATCGTAAGTCTAATAGTTTTCTAGTTATGAGCCAAACAAAATCACAAAATAAAAAAGAAAAAAATGCCTGTAAAATACAAAAACATCAGCTAATCAAGATGAAAATCCCAGGTGCACACCTTCATATGGTCAATAACAAGTGTATAAATTTTCAGACAAATCCATCCAATAGTTTCTGAGAAACGGTATGGACAAAATCTTGTCTTCAGACAGACGGACATGGTGATTCCAAAACTTCGTTTGCGGGGGTATAAAAACTTGAGAAGATAAGTAGTCTCATTGAAAATGAAAAATACGATGACGTTTTAGAACGTCACATAGCAGCAGATAGCGAACTTTTCTGTTGGCAAATGATTAGAAATATGAAACTTTATTGACATTGTTGTCAAAATAACTCCATATTCTGTAAGTTGTTTGAATTCCATGTGTTAAAATTTCAATCGCAATGGTTTTAATTTCACACTGCAAGAAATTAATTTCAAAGTAATGTTAGCATTAATACGTGTTTAAACATTAATGCTAGCATTTACAACAGGTTGAATTTCGCGGATAAATGATCGATCGCAAACATTGTGAAACTGAAACCATCGTGATTAATTCTTATTCTACCGAAGAAAACATAAAATACGGTATGCTACGGTCATCACGCTTTGAAATCAATATATCCTAAGAAAGGCGGAAAGACCTAAGAAACAATTCAATTACAATTGTTCGCAAGGATTAAAAGAATATATACGGTATTTTTAAAGTTTGGTTTCCCCCCCTTTCTTTCTCCACTCCATCTTCATCTTTCAAAGGTCTCTCGCAAATTTTC